TCTTGCCTCATACTTAAGTCTCTTCATCCACTTGAAACAGATGTTTTTGTGAATGGTGTGAACCAAGATCCAATTTGTTTTTCCCTATATTGATCATCAATCACACCCATATTGATTGTTGAACTGTCCCCTACTAGGTAGCAGAGCCCTCGGTCACAAAGCGAGTCCCTAGACATTGGGGAGTTTGAGTCCAGGCTCCTGACTCTCTCCATGGCTTGTGCAGCTCACCCGTGCCAAGAGCACGCAGTCCTGGCACGGCTTTGGCAGACTCACTGCTGCAGAGCAGCCTCCCTCCCACCCCACGAGCACCTTCCTCTTCTTAAGGATAGTGACTATTCTGAAGCCTGTGGTATTTCTCATAAATTTTAGAAGCAGCTTGTCAAGTTCCAAAACAGACAGACAAACAAAAACTGAAACAAAATCATTGGTATTTTTATTGAAATCACATTGAATCTACAGAACAATTTGGGGGAAATCATCGTCTCTCTGAGAGTGACACTACTTATTAATTAACATGACATATAACTCCATCTATTTAAGTCTTCTTTGATATCTTTCAGTCAAGTTTAGTAATTTTCCACATAAAGATCTTGCCCACAAGTGTTAGGTTTATTGTCAGGATGCTGATGTTGTAATGAAATGCAATCAACCTACTCGGATGACCTCACATTCAGCAACTTTGCTAAACACTCTAATTTTAGACTATTCTAGATTTCGTCCATAAATAATACTGTTATCTGCGAATAATGACAGTGTTGCCTATTCCTTTTCTTTCTTTTTTTTTAAAGATTTTATTTTTTTCCTTTTTCTCCCCAAAGCCCCCTGGTACATAGTTGTAAATTCTTTGTTGTGGGTCCTTCTAGTTGTGGCATGTGGGACGCCGCCTTAGCGTGGTTTGATGAGCAGTACCATGTCCGCGCCCAGGATTCGAATCAACGAAACACTGGGCCGCATGCAGCGGAGCACGTGAACTTAACTGCTCGGCCACAGGGCCAGCCCCCCGCCTATTCCTTTTCTAATCTTTAGATGCTTTATTCATTTTTCTTGTCTTATTCAACAAGTATTTACTGAATACCTACAAAGCGTCAGGCACTATCCTAAGCATTGGAATACGGTGAACAAAAAAGAAACCTCTAGCCTCGTGGAGCTGACACTTGATCTACTTAACTGGCCAGGACCTGAGTTCAATGTTGAAAAGAAGGAGTGGTCACAGGCATCACTGTCCTTTTCTGATTTTAAAGGGAATTCTTTCTAAATTTCACCATTATATACATAATGTTTCCACAGGACTTTTTGATAAATCCTCTTCATCGAGTTAATAATTCCTAGATTGCTAATAGTTTTTATCATGAATAAAATTTTAAACTTTTGAATGTCCTCTCTGCATCCAAGACAGGATCACATCAACAGTGTCCTTTATCTGTTAATGAAAATCATAGTGATCGATTTTCTGATGTGGAGCCTTAAGCTCCTGAGACAAACCTGACGGCGCTTTCCTTCCTGTGCACTGTCGGATTTGGGTTGCTTATGCATGGGGGTGGATTTTGCATCTGCATTAATGAGTGAATGTGGATCGTGCTTTTCCTTTCTTATACTCTATCTTCTTAAAAACTTTTGTGTCAAGATTGTACTAGTCTTATACAAACACTTAGGGAATGTTCACTCTTTTCCTATTTTCTGGAAGAATTTGTTCAGGATCGAAATGATCTTTCCTCATATTTTAGGTAGAAACCTAACGTGTAAGATTAGGATCCAGAGGTGTGAGCTACACCAGGACATGGACACCAGGTGAAAAGACAGGGTAGTTATTGCACCTCACACCTCCTACTCCTGGTAGGCTTCTTTGAATTTTGGAGACAGCACATACCACTCAGGCAATACTGCTGCGACCCATTTATCAGATGACACAAAGCTGCAAGGTTTGAGAGGTTTCCCAGCAAGAGAGGGGTCTCAGCAGAGCCATGCTGCAACCTCAGGGGCCCTGCCACTGGGGCCAGAAGACTCCACAGACCCACAGTGCTGGGGTGTCTGTGGTACAGAGAGATTCTGTGTGGAGTGTCCTGAAAGCCCATAGAAAAGTCAGTGCAGACACCTAGGACTCTGGAGCAAGGCCATGTCACCCGCAGAAGACGTCAAGGAAGGGGCCAGTCCTGGCTACTGGACCCTGGTGGAGACTGTCTGACCGTGAGACAGCCGTGTTCATGACACCAAAGCTTCTCCCCATGAGTGGTGTGCACCAGGCCCACCAACAAGGGAAGTGCTATATCTAGGGCCAAACCGAAGCACAGCTAGAGGTACAGGGACGTGGCAGGTGGCCCAGTCCTCATGCCTCTCACCTCTGTTGCACCACTGTCTCTTCCTCAGCTCACCCCCCAGCCCGACACATCATGGGGTGATCATTAAAACTAGGAGGAAACACTTAAACCTGGTTAATGGCCGGGGAGGGGCGGGGTTTGGCTCAACCTCCTCAATATTGGTGCAGGCCTCACTAGAGTTGCATGCAGGGATGGCCTGACAGAGGGTTGAGGCAGAGCTCTGGGTGGTGCACCCGATCAGCCACAGTGTGTGTGGAGAAAGAAGTTGCCTGTGGTAAGGATTACAGGATCCTAGACAAGGGCTAAAGCTTGGTCCAGCCTCTGGAGGAAACGAGGTTTGGGGATGAGGCATCCAGATGGACCTTGGGTTGGGCACCATGTGCAGGTCTTTGCATTACAGATCAATGTCCACCAGAGGGCATCCATGGCTGTAGAGGCACTAAAAACTAAGCTTCGGGATGAGTCAACCAACAGATGTCAGCCAACCTCTATCCTCCCCAGCCCTATGTTCACACAGTGGATCCATGAATGGAGTGGCCATGGTGGCCAAGGTGAAGGCTGTGCCTGGGCCCAACAGCTGGGCTCCCTCCTAGCAAGGCTGATTCAGCCATGGCCACTGCTGAATGTCCAGTCTACCATGAGCAGAGGTCAACACTAGGCCTCTACGGGGTACTAAGCTTGAGGCTGTCATCCAGCTACTTGGCAGTAAGTCGCTTACATGGGAATCCCGTCACCTGGAAACAGCAGTGATTTGTCTCACCTGGGGTCACTCATATCCCAGGTGTGGGTGTGCCTTTGCTGATGCAGTACCTTGGGCTGCACTAGTACCAGATTTACCAACATAGGACTCCATGTAACATCACAACAGACCAAGCAGAGGGCCTGCTGGCATGTCATGTTCCACATCACTCAGGAGGTTCAGGCCTGCTAAAATGTTGAGACAGCCTCTTATAGGCACGGATAAAATGCCAGCTTAGTGATATACCTTATGGGGTTCACGATGAACTGATGGCCAATAGATGGTGCTGGATGCCCAGTAGGTAGAATGCATGGATCCAGGAAACAAGGGGTGGAAGTGGAGGTGGCCCCTCTCACCACCACTTCAGCGCCCCAGTGTGAACTTTGCCCTGATCATCCCCATAAGCTTAGGTTTGGCGAATCTAGAGGTCCTGGATCAAAGGCGTGGGGAAAGCTTCCACTGTGGAACACCAAAGCCATGGTGGTCCCTGCCACTTTGGGCTCCTCATGCCAGAGGACCAGCAGGCAGAGTTCCCATACTGGCCAGAGTATTTGATGCTGATTATCATAAAGGGCAGAGCTGCTGCTGTACAGAGACAGAAAGAAGTCTATCTGGAAAGCAGGGGGCTCACCAGGGCCTTTCTAGATGCTCCTATGACCAATCTTAACTGTGACTGGATCACTATGGCACCAGAGCCACATAAGTATATGGCAAGCAGGGACTTGGACTGTACAGGGCAAAGGTCTGGGTCACTTCACCAGACCAGGAACAAGGGCAGCAGAAGGCTAGCCACAGGTCAGAGGACTCCAGAAGGGGCAGAGGTGGAATGAGATGATAAACATCAGCTCAACTCTGACTAAAACAGCAGTGGGAGCTCTAGCTCCTCTTACCAACTCTCTTCTCCCAGAGATGCTGACCAGCACCATCCTGAAGAATGAGTGATGGGAAACCAGCATGGGGTGTGAGCAGAGTTGAGTAGGGCCAGGGTGGCCCCATTATGACGGCCCCTCATGTCCCTTCATCCCCAACAGCTCAGGCCACCAGAGCCTGCATCACCTGCACTGGGGGTGCACTCAGGGGAGCCGGAGATGTCTGAGCCCTTAGCCAAGGACTAATGGGCCCAGAGGTAAAAGTCTGCAGCTCTAGGGTGTGACCACCCTGTCTCCAGAGCCCCTTTGGGGGCCCAAATTTACCCCTCAACACTTGGCTTGAGACGCAGCATTTCCGGCCCTTCTCTTCCCCGTACGTATCCCCAAATCTCTCTCTACTGCTTTTGCCTAAGAAATAACTTTCATGAGAACCCTCATCTCAGTGTCTGCTCCTAGAGAGTTCAACCTAATACAAACAGATGAGATTTTTTTGCCATTTAATTCTAACCTAATGCATTGTACTCAAAGAATATTGCTTTATGATTCAGATTCTTTGAAATCTGTTGAGTCAAGATTATGTTCCAGCACTTGGTTAGTTTTTAGGCATACCCCATGTATCTTCGATAAGAGTGAGCATCTCCAGTTATGTATATATATATATATATGTATGTATGTATATATGTGCAAAAGAAACCTGGTATTTTAAAATATTCTAAGTTCTTATTGGTTTTGGTTTCTGTTTTTGGTGCCAAGTTGTTAGACACATACAAATTTAAAAGATTCTTGTCTTCCTGGTGAGTTGTTACCAGGGAGCTCCCAGGTGATTCTCAGGCCATCAGCCTGGAAGCTCTTTTGGGAACCACTTTCTTATCCAAGAAAAAGCATTTGCTGAGACAATACTCAATCCCCAAACTCCACCTCTGGAGAGGCTCTAACCCTTCTCCCCAGAGGCTCCTGAGGGACCCTTGCTCTAGAGAGGAGGAGCTAGCACAGCCAGGGCCTGGAGACACACTGAAGGAGTACCCCAGAAGGAAACCACTTTGGGACCCTGGAGGAGGGACAGGAAATGCTACTTACCGCAATCTCTGTTACTAAAATATCAGTAATACTTCCCAGCACAGTGACAAAGTCAAAGACATTCCAGGCATCTCTGAAGTAGTTCTAGAGAGAAAGAAGAGCAGTTAGTGCTAGTGGCTGGTGAGGGCTCTGCCAGGTGAGGAGTTGCAGGAGGTGGCCTCTAATCAAGAAGGGCGAGGGAACAGATGGGCTCCCAGGTGGGACAGCACAAAGCCAGTGTAAGCAGACACCACAGCTAGGCACACAGATGCCTCTGGGCCTGGGCAGGTGCCTGACTGAGAGCCCTGTGTCCAGAGAGAGGGAGTCTGGCCGCAGCTGCCTCCAGGAGCTGCTCTGGAGGAGAGCTCGGACAGCCAAGAGTGTCGAAGCCACCCCTTCCCAAGGCCCCTGCAGTGTTACATGTGCCCAGGAGCTCGGGGAATTCCCAGGTCCAAACTGTGAGTTCCCAAAGGTCCCCCTACAGAGGAAAAGCCAGGATGCTGGCCACCAAAAGGCCAAGAGGGAGCCAAGGCACATACCAGCACCCCAAAGGCGATGATCTTCAGCACGCATTCCATGGAGAACATGGATGTGAACACAATGTTCAGGCATTTCAACATCAGCTCGTACTCGTAGGGTGCGTCATAGAACTGCCCGGGGAATGGGTGCCATTGGCCACAGGCTCAGCTGCCCCAGGACACCCCACTGGGGACCACTGTCACCTCCTGTCAGAGCACAGTGGGCAGACAGAACCACACACCTGCCCAGCCCAGGGATGCCCCTCCCCATTCTCCCCCTGTGTCCTCCCAGAAACTTCTCACTGTCTCAGCCCGTGGACAACTAGGGGGACCAGGATCCACAGGCACCCTTTGCTGCCCAGGACATGGAGCAACACCAGCTCGCCATCAGCAGAAAGAAGGACTCTCTGCCTGGCTTAAGTCAGGTCCCAAACCCCAGCTGGTGGCAGCTGGCAACCATGTTGGGCCCCACACACCTTCATCATCAACACCACTGTGTTGAGGGCTATCATGGCCATGATGAAGTACTCGAAGGGTGGCGACACCACAAACGTCCACGTCTTGTACTGGAAGGACTGTTTGTTCTGGGGCATGTACCGCGTCAGGGGCTTGGCGCTGATGGCAAAGTCAATGCAAGCCCTCTATGTAGGGAGAAAGGAGCAATGAGAACTCAGAGGGGGAACCTGACACTGCAGCATCCCCTGCACCTGTCCCCCTCATCCTCGCAGGGAGCCCTGATGAGAGAAGGCAAAATGAAGGAATCTGGGCCTCCTCCAGGCAGCCCCAACCAACCACACACAGTCTCTCGCTGCCTCTGTGCCGGTGGACAGCGGCAGCCAAAGCTGACCCTGACGATGAGTGATTTCTAGGCAGAAGGGAAGCCCAACAGTCCTGTCCACACTGCCCATCGGGGAACCCAGTAGGATGTACACTGCACACATGTAGACAGGGCAGGAGAGGGAGCCACCTACCTCATTCTTCTCCAGGCTGCATTCAGACATCACCTTGTCCCCCTGCTCCTGGAAGGTGATGATGATCAAGGCCACGAAGATGTTGACAAAGAAGAAGGGGAAGACCACAAAGTAGACCACATAGAAGATGGACAACTCCATGCGGTACCCAGGGCTTGGGCCCTGTTCCTCATAGGTGGCATCCACTGAGTGTTTCAGCACCCTGGGCAAGAGCAAACACCCGGCATCAGGGGACCCATGAGGACACAGCCCAGGAATCATGACATGCACCCCAGGTAAGGTTTCCACACCAGGGCCCAGAGACGGTGCGAGGAGATGGGACTGAGCCCAGGGATGGCTCTGCCATGCTGTGAGCCCAAGCCTGGTGCATGTGGCTGCCATCCCTCCTGGAGGTGGGCCACCATCCCAACAGGGTTTGTACTCAGAGCTGTTACAGGACCTCCAAGGGCAGAGACTCTGGGTGGCTGAGGGCCTATCCCCAGAAGGAGAGGTAGAAGAGGCCTAGCAGTTCTGCCCTGCCCTGCTCATTCTCAGCTCACACCCAGCCCACTCGCTCACACCCAGCCCACTCGCTCACAACCAGCCCACCTGCTCACACTCAGTCTACCCACCCACTCCTAGCTCACCTGCTCATACCCAGCCTACCTGCTCACACCCAGCTCACACCCAATACTCCAGTTTATGCCCAGCCCACCAGCTCACATCCAACTTCCAGCTCACACCCAACTCTCCAGCTCACACCCAGCTCACACCCAATACTCCAGTTTATGCCCAGCCCACCAGCTCACATCCAACTCTCCAGCTCACACCCAGCTCACACCCAACTCTCCAGCTCATGCCCAGCTCACCTGCTCATGCCCAGCTTTACCTGCCTTCAGAAAGCCCAGGGCTCAGCAGGGTCTCCTGCCAGATCATCGATCATACCTTCCGACGGGTGGTCTTCCCAGCCCCAAAGGAAGCCCCCTACCATTCAGTGTGCCACTGAATGCATACAACCCTCTGGCTGCATTTCACTGAGGCCAGAGGGCTAGCACAGGGAGATACCAAGAGTCCCATTCCCCCTCTGGCCTCCAGCCACTCAAAAAGGACTTTCAGGAGATCACTATGCTGCGTCTTTTGGTTTAATCTTCTCCTCTCCTCCAGGCTGCCCACTCTTGGAGGGCAGGGCCACATCTCACCTGGTAGGTAAGAACCTACGGGGTGTTTGCTGAGTGACTGAAACACAAACGGACACAGAATCTGGGCTTCCTGCCCTTCCGCCCCTTGCTCTACCCTGACCAGCCACGATACACCAAATGAGTACTCACATGGGCCACCCTTCTCCCGTGGACACCGTGAACAGTGTCAGCAGAGCCCAGAGCACGTTGTCATAGTGAAAGTCATATTTCTTCCACTGCCGTGGTTGAGCTTCCACTTCCTCCTTCTCATAATCCAAATACTGACCCCTAGGAATGGGAAAACAGAGGAGGTTAGAGATTAAACACAAAGGACCCAAATAAACCCATGTGTCTACAGTTAACTTGTGTCTGAAAAAAGGTTGCCCATTCAATGGAGAAAGAACAGTCTCTTCAATGATGGTGCTAGAAAAACTGGATTTCCACATGCAAGAGAATGAAGCTGGATCCCTACATGGCTCCATATACAGAAATTAACTCAAAGTCAAACAAAGACCTAAATGTAAGAGCTAAAACTATAAAACTCTTAGAAGAAAACACAGCGGCCTCAGATTTGGGGATGGATTCTTAGATATGACACCAAAATCATGAGAAAAAAAGTGGACACATTGGACTTCATCAAAATTTAAAGGTTTTGTGCTTCAAAGGAGATCAACGATACACAGAATGGGATTTGAAGACCATCTATCTGATAAGGGACTTGCATCTAGAATATATAAGAACTACCATATCAATTATAAAAAAGACAACTCAATTTAAAAATTGGTAAAAAATACTAATAGATATTTCTTTGAAGAAGACATACAAATGGCCAATAAGCACACAAAAAGATGCTCAACATCACAGGTCATCAGGGAAACGCAAATCAAAACTGCAATGAGCCACCACTTTATACCCACTAGGATGGATATATTTAAATTTTTAAAAAGGAAAATAATAAGTGTTGACAAGGATGTGGAGAAATCAGAACTCTCATACATTGCTGGTGGGAATATAAAATGGTTCAGCCTCGTTGAAAAACAGTCTGGCAGTTCCAGAAACTGTTAAACAGAATTACCATATGACCCATCAATTCTGTTTCTAGGTACAGACTCAAAAGAAATGAAAAGATCTGTCCACACAAAACTTTATTCATGTGTTCAGTGCAGCATTAATCATAATAGCCAAAAGGTAGAAACAACCCAAATGATCATCAACAGATGAATGAATATAACAAATGTGGCATCTCTACAGAATGGAATAATATTCAACCATAAAAGGGAATAGAGTACTGACATGTGCTACAACATGGATGAATCCTGAAAACAATATGCTAAGTGAAGGAGGTTAGACACAAAAGACCATATATCATATGACTTAATTTATATGAAATGTCCAGAATGGGGAAATCTATAGAGACGGAAAATAGATTAGTTGTTGCTTGGGGCTGGGGCTGGGGCTGGGGAAGTAGGGGTGATAGCTAAAGGGGATGGTTTTTTTGTGGGGTTTTTTTAAACTGATGAAAATGTTCTAAAACTGACTGTGGTGATGGTTGCACAACTCTGTGAATATACTAAAAATCACTGAATTGTACACTTTCAATGGGTGAATTGTATGGTATATAAATAATATCTCTATAAAGCTGTTTTTGTGAAAAACAAAGGACCCCATTGCAATGGGGAAAGATGGTCTTTTCAAATAAATGGTGCTAGGTCAACTGGATATCTATCTACAGAAGATTTATCTTTAGCCATACTTCACACAACAAACAAAACCAACTCCAGATAGATCACAGTCTATATGTGAAGACAAAACGAAAACTTTTTGTGGAAAATAAAAGGGGACATCTACCTGACCTTGGGATGGATTTCTTAAACAGGATACAAAAAGTAAAAACATAAAAAAAGGCAAGTGTACTATGTTACAATCATGACTTTGTTCTTTAAAAGACATCACTAAAAGAGTAGATCTGGCAAAGGACTCCTATCCAGGACCTTAAAGATTTCCTACAAATCAACCAGAAAGAGACAGAGAACCCACACAGGAAAATTGGCAAAGGCTGGCACAGACATTTCCAAGGAAGCAACATCCAAGTGGTCAGTCCATCTGGGAAAAGGTGCTCAGCCTCACTGGTCATCACACAGGTGCAAATGAAACCACAGAGAAATGTCAGAATCCCTGAACCAGAAAGGCTAAAAAGCAAAAGACAGAAGATGCCAACTATAGCAGGATGTGGAGTACTGGAGCTCTCATCCATGCTGGTGGGAGTGTGATTTTACACAAGAATCTGGCAGCACCTACAAAAGCTGAACATAAGCACAGTCCACAACCCAGCAATTCCACTCCTAGACTGCCACTCCTGGAACTGTGCACATGTGCCCCCAACAGACATGTACTGGATAGTCACAGCAGCACTGCTCAGGAGAGCCTCGAACTGGAAACAACCCACATGCCCATCAGTCACAGAGTGGATACGCAAGTGGTGCCATTTCCACACAGGAGAATATTACAGAGACAACCGGGCCATCGCCCATGGGTGGGGAAGGAGCTGCCCGTGCTGCCTTACTTAGCGTCCACGCTGGCACCACCTCCATTCCCCTGGTTCCTCCCTGAGGGCACCTCTCCTATCTGCTCTGATATGGGCCTGGGCCTAGAAAGGCCTGAGGCCTACAATGATGGTCAAAGTGGCCACTGGGCAGTGCCTCTGTCCTCAGGGCCCAGCTCAGACCTCCAGGATTTACAGAGACCTCCAGCATTGCCCCAGGGCTCCCATGAGCTCCCTGGATGTCAGCAGGCAGGAAGAGCATGTCCATCAGACATGGCTGCTCCCTGACTCTACTGAGGAGGACGTGCTGGGTTGGTGCAGCCCTGGGGACAAAGGCACACTCCCCTGCTCTGGGGTACGTCCCAAGCAGGCTCCTCCCAGAGCCCTCACAGGGCATTCCCACTGCTGGCTTTGCAGCTGTTCTCTGCATCACGGAGCTGCACCCCTGCTCCCAGCCCTGCCTTGGTTTACCTGCAGTCCCTCTCCAGCTCCTTGGACTCGTCAGTGCAGTAGAAAAACTTCCCTTTGAAGAGCTGCACCGCGATGACAGCAAATATGAACATGAAGAGCATGTAGACAATCAGGATGTTGAGGACGTTCTTCAGAGAGTTCACCACACAGTCAAACACAGCCTGGTGGGGAGGGGGGATGGAGCCGTGAGGGGAAGGGCAGGGCACCCAGGCTCAGAACCTCCAGGGCCCCCTGGGCATTGGAGGACCTTGCAAGGTCCTGAGGCCCATAACCGTAGAAAGGCTCTGCTGCAGGCTGCCTTGGCAGAGAAAGCTGCCTGATGCTCTCTTTCTCTCAGGAGGGGCCATCTTGGACTTCATGGAGTGGGCAGGAGGTGCTACAAGAGGCAGCGCAGGGCAGATGTGCTGGATGATGAGGAGAACCTGGTGCTGCAGGTCTGGGTTAGGCCACGTAAGCAAGGGTGACCTGGAGCCAGGCTGACCCATGTCAGGAGGGGCCGACAACAGAGAGAAAGGAGTGGAGCTGGGTATGTGGCCAAACCCCAGCTCCTGCACCTGGGCCCTGCCAGCAGATCACACTTTGCCCATCAGTGGGAACCAACACAGGGCAGAAAAGCAGTGATGCTTTGGCCAGCTCCAGGGAGTTTTGGCACGCTGGGTGGCCCAGAGGTGACTCTGTCACCTGTTACCACCACTGCCTGGGCTTTCTCTCAGGTTCTTTTCCCTCTGGAAGCTCAGCTTTCCCTGCACTGCCAGTAGTGCTGACCCTAGCCCTAGCCCCTCTTTCCCAGAGCTGAGGAGAAGCCCTGTCGTGCTCTGGCTGTGCAAACCGGCAGATCCCCAACCATCTCCCGAGACACTGCCAGGCACACTCCCAACACCAGCAGCTGCCTCAGCAAATGCAGACACTGCCCACCTGCACAGTGCCCACGGCACCCTTTACTTGACAGACCAGATCTAAGACCCCACTTGGCGCAGAGGGCCTCCGGCTGCCTGAAGGTCACCTCTCAGCCTGTCCCTTCACACACAGGCTCTAGGCAAAGCGCCTCCTATAATCCCCACATTGCTTAACGTCTCCAAGGCTTGCACTTCCAAGCTGCTCATAATACTTTACTGCACACGGTTTTGGAGGATTAAATGAGTTTACACACATAAAGCATTTCACACAGTATCTAGCACAAGCTCAATAATTATCAAATTTTAGCACAGTTCTAAGTGTTTGAGTTCACATTCTTTCCCTTATCCAGAACCTCAGCCATACACAGCACTTAGTGCCCAGCCCAACAACCACTTCTCGGGAGCCCCTGCCCTCCCTGCATCTCCCCCACGATCCTCTGCCTCTCAGCAGCCCCTCCTCGCTGTACTGCAGCTGTGGGTGAAAAGATGCTGTCCCACCTGGTGCTGTTGGGTCAAGGAAGAGGAGCCTGACAGGACACCACTGGAAACAAGCTCTTCTTGGGGGAGGGCCATAGAGCTGAGAGAGTCCCTCCCACCCACACAATGCACAATCTGAGAAAAATTAATCTGGGGCTTCCTCTCAGCTCTGCTCATCTCCACTCCAGATGGGAAGCTGCAGCAGGATGGGCCAGTTACTTATAAACATGTACACACACACATGCACAGCACACTGCACATACATACATGTGCACAGAGCATACACATACATAAACACACACACACATACACACCTACATGTGCACACATGAACAGCAAACATACATGTACACACATGCCCATATTCGCACGTGCATGCACACTCACACACACATGCACACACAGCCCTGCACACTCCTCAAGTTTCATCTCAAGGCTCTCACCTTGAGCTTAGGCAGCCGTTTAATGGTCTTGAGGGGCCGTAGGACGCGCAGGACTCTCAGGGACTTGATGGTGTTGATGTCTTTCCCTTTGGATCCTCTAGAAGGGAGAAGCCACACATGCAGACAGGCAGGACGCACACTGTGCCCAGCTCCCACGAAGCTCCTGCAGTCTGGGTCACACTCCCTGTGCATTTCGTCTTGGGCCCCAGGGCAGAGGGTCTAGGAGCAGGGAAGCCTTGGCCCTGCAGGAGCCACAGGCCAGTGCGTGTTCTCCTCCAGGCAGCCTGGCCAAGGTGTCGGCCGAGCGGACAAGGGCCAGGGCCGGGTCAGCAGCACCTGGTGTCCAGGGAGAGCTGAGCTTCCAGGGGGGAAGAACCCATTCTCCCAGCACTCCCCTAACAGCCACCCCCCAACCAGCTTCACTGCTGTGCTGAGACCAGCAGTGGGAATAAAGAGGTGAGGAGAGGCCTGCACCAGGATCGTAGGCCTAGCCTGGGGCCAGCACGTGGAAGCCCACAGCAATGTGCCACCATGTCCACTGGTGCCAGAGCCTTCTGGAAGGGCCAGTTTCCCCTGCTTTTCACTCCTGGTAAAGGGAGGTCAGGGGACATGTCTGGAGCTCTCTGCTGGATCATGTCCTCTCTCAATTGTCCTAACACTCCTCCAGATGATGTAAAACTGACAGGGAAGGAGAGGCGGAAAAGGATGGGAGGCCTGGAGGGAGGGAGGGAGGGAGTGTAAGAAAGAGACAAAGTTAGAGGAATACAGAGGCAATGCAAGAGACAGGGGTGGACAAAGAAAGACAGACCAAGGGAGAGAGGAAGAACTAGAGAGGGGGAAAGAGCCCAGAGAGACCAAGAGAAGCAGATGGAGATATCAAGGCATCAAGAAAGAAGCAGACCAGAAAGCCCAAACACGGGGAGGGTGGGTAAGACAGGAAGAAAGGTAAAGAAAACTCTAGGCACCAGAAACAAGCTAGAAGTCCAGGACATTGAACCCAGATCAGGTCCCCTCACAGAGGAAGCCAGAGCACACCCAAGTGGCTCCCTCAGGCTGCCAGGGGCCCAAGAATTGTCAGACTCTGGGGCTGGCCCTTCCACCAACCAGAAGTCAGAGCAGGAATGTGAGGGGAGGGTCTCCTGAGAGGCCTTCAAGGTTTCCCGTTTCCCTCAGAAGCAAGGCCACAGTCCACCTGCAGGGGCAGAGGCTGAGGGCTCAGGACTGGGGTCTCTCTCCCATTCTGCTCAGAGGCCACTTCCCCCAGGCTCCCCAGGAGCCTGCACTGGGGAGGGGACTGGCCCCATGGCCTTCCTTGGACTGCAGCCAAGCTCTGGAGTACAAGCTGCAAGGCCCAGGAGGGCTCTGTGGGGAAAGGAGAGCTCAGGCCCAGTCCCTTATTCTCTCCCAAGACCCAGCCAGGGCCCACACTCCAGGATCACACCAGACTCCCCCTGAAACACCAAGCTTCCAGGCGGGAACACCCAGCCTCCCGACGGTCATTGGCTGTTCCATCACTGCAGTGTGCTCACCCGCACCCCCAAACCAGCTTCCTCCGCTGCCCCCTGAGACTAGCACCAGGAGAAGAGTAGACAGGGAGGCCTGCGGAGGAGGCAGACCTGGAGGGGCAGGCAGCCCCCCAGGCACCTGTGTCCTGAATGTCTCAAGGCTGTACTTCTCTCCTGCCAGCCCAGAGCCTTTCTCCTGCTGAGGCCGCCTGGCTGGATGTGACCACTCCCCTCCCTCTCACTCCCAGGGTCCCTGACTGACGCTGGCAAAGTTGTCACCTCCTTCATACAGAAAGAGGGTTGGTTATGTCCCCCAAAGGAGATGGAGTGCAGGAGGAAGTCGTGGAGAAGAAAGAGGAAAGACAGCCAAGATTCTGGAGAAGGGACATGGGGGAAAATGCCTCAGGATGTCCAACATCCCGGCAGCCCTGGTCACACAGCAGCTCCCACCTGGAGCCCTCACTGCCTTCCAGGACCATATTCCAAGCCTCCAGCACTCCCTCAGGACTCCCTGCTCACCAGGTACCTCCTTACTAAGGGCTGGCCAGCCCCAATCCTAGCCCTACCGGGTCCCCACAGGCAAGGCAGGAACACGCCACCCAGGGACATGGTTCCTGGAAGCATGCAGCCCGGAGGAGTTGGAGGAGGAGGAGGAAGCGGAGGAGGAGGAAGAGGAGGAGGAAGAGAAGGAGGAGTGGAGGTGAGGCATAGTGATGAAATGGCCCACAAGGGGCCTGTCAGTGCACTATGATATGGCCAGTGGGAGGGGACAGAGGGAAGGCATTACCCCATGAAGCTCCTATTGAGAGTCCAGCAACAGAGAGACAAAGAGAAGAGAGTCAGTGAGGAGGCCTCCCCAGGCACAGCTCAGCCTGTGCCTTCCCCATGGCTCCGAGAAGATGAAACCATCCCTCAGTATCTGCATCCACTGGGGGTCTTCCTTATCTCTGGGTCTCACCCCACCACTTCCCCCTGCATTTACCCCCCAGCTCTACCCAAGCCCCCCATACCTGCCTCACGCCCGCTGCCATGCAGGGTATGAGGGAGTCAATCCAGGCCCAGCCACAACAGGGCTGAATGCTGCTCACTAGGGAGCCAGAGAAGATGGCCTAACTTCCTGATGGGGGAAGACGCCCACCAGCACCCACCAGCTCTGGCTGACCAGGCAGTGCAGCTGAGGTCAGGGCAGGTCACGGTATTCTGAAGGACCCGAGAGCAGACACTAAACAAGCCAGACGCCTGCCCACCCAATGGTAGAACTATGGGCTGCGCCAGGGATCGATGGGCATGAGGTCCTCCCGACCACACAGCCCAGCCCCATGCAGACAGGGGTGGGCTACAGACAGCCCAGAGGGCCGATGGAGCCCTCCTCCCCTCACCCGACACCTCGTCACGGCTCTGGGAACTGTGGCCAGCCAGATCCACAGCAAACGTGGGTACTTACGAGAAGGCAAACGCCACCAGGGCCCCACTGACCACAATGAAGTCCAGAATATTCCACAGGTCTCGGAAGTAGGCCCCAGGGTGCAGCAGCAGACCCAAGTCGATCATCTTCAGGGGAGAAACACACTTTAGGGTGCAGAAGATTTCAGAAAAGCAAAACAGAGCCAGGCTTCAGAGTCATGGGGTTGGGGGTAAGGATGTTACTCCAGGTCACGCCCTGCCACAGGAGGGGATGCAGCCCAGGTCACGCCCTGTCAGGCGAGGGGACATGACCCAGGTCATGCCCTCTGATGGCTTCAATGGACCTTTGGACCTCAATGCAATTGCCCCCACCTTGACCTACATGGTCAATAGATCCTGCCTGGGCCCCCAACTCCCCTGGAGCCTGAATGAGACCCTCCTCCATTGCTGGGCTGCAGGCACACACAGCCCCAGGGAGCTCAGACCCTCAGAGGGTCAGCTCCGTGCAGCAGGAGGAAGAGCTGGTGGGATTGACAGGGACCTGACTCTGCCACTCCTGGAGCTATGATTTTGGGCAAGAATCTTAATGTCCCTAAGTCTCAGCTTCCTCATCTGTAAAACGGGATGACCAGGAGTTTGCAAGGGTAAATGAAGAACCAGAGGCACACACACAAGAAAAGCCGCCCCGAGTCACGCACGTGGGCACACTTGAAGCTGCAGTGCAGTCAGAGATTGCACACACGTGCACATTCAACCACAGTGAACGCACACCTGTGTAAATACAAGCACCAGCCACTTGTCAGACATCGACAAGGGAGCAACACCTGTCAATACCTACAGACAGAAAACAAAGGTCACAACGAAATGGCCAACTCTTAATCTACCACCAAACACTACCATTCTTCTAAACCAAAGTCTTCAGCACCCACTTGCCATGATCTTTGAGCTGGAGGCCACTGTCCTCTCCCCAAGCTCTCTTTCTTCCCCGCCTGCTGTCAGGGCCCTCTTCTGCTGTCACGAGACAACCCTGAGGGCAGAGCTGAGCCCACACCCGCACCTTGGGGAGCGGTAGCCCTGAGGTGGAGGTGCCATGGAGACAGGCGTAGGCGAGCACTCCCAGGGCTGATGTGACGCTGTGAGGAACCCTCAGCGAACGATGGCCTCTTGTCTCCACAAGACAAAACCTGTACTGCAGGTGTGTGTGCCCTCACATCACTGCACACATGAACACACGTTCTCTCACTGAGCACACACCCAGGGCACACCCACCACACGCCTTCGTAAGAGGTTACAAGCCCCACCCCATCTCAGCCATAAGGGAGGATGTGCAAAGCGCAGGGTCACCAGGGCAACCAAGTATCTCACCTTCATCACCATCTCAAAGGTGAAGACGCCTGTGAAAATGTAGTCCATGTACTTTAGAGCCTAGAAACAAAAGGAAGGTTATTCACGAAGGCTAGGCCAGAAGCTTGAACCAGGGCCATGTCAGAGGCTCCAGGTTTCTCCTCCAGGCCTCTTAGCAGATAACCCATCAGCTGGGGGACCCATGGGCAGCAGTCATTGGGAGGGAAGACTTGGCGAGTGCCCCTGTGGGAACAGTACCCTGTGGCAGCAGCCCTGGCTCTGATCCCAGGCACATCTCCACTCTTCCCGTCTCTAACATGGGGCTGGACCAGGTAGCATCCCCAGACCTTCATCCCCACACTCCCAGAGAGAGAAGGGGTGCCCAGTGAGCAGACAGGACCCTGGGACCACCAAGCCCTCCACAGTCTGACAGCCCCACTCACATTGTTCCGGGGCGAGTCTGTCCTCACAGGATCCTCGGCAGCCAGGGCGATGCTGCTCAGGGCAATGACCACAAGAATGACCATCTCGAAGTACCGCATGGTCACGATGTAATGGCAGAAGCGGCGGAGCCTAGAGGGCAAAGTACGGATCACCAGGAGGCCACAGAGAGACCAGGCTGGGCCCCCTACAGAGCACGGGCTTGGCCTTTCCCTGCAGGAAGGTGTTTCTGCTAAGTGTCCATGGTCAGGAAGCAGTGGCCAGGTGACTCAGATTCTTCAGAGGGCGTCCCAGGAAGAGGGGTGGGGAGGCTGCCAAAGCCACGGCAGGGGCAGTGAACAGCAGCTGGCAGCCAAATTGGTCTGGTTCCGTTTGTCGGCCTGACATTCTTTTGGAGCACAGCCATGCCCACGCTTTTACCTACTGTGTGTGGACTGCCCTGCCTTTACAGGATTACGGGTTTGCTGCAGGTGGGATGGAGGGAGCTGTGCAAAGAAGAAGAGGCTGAATACCAACACTCCTGGGGAAAGCAGGCCCCCGGAGACTTCCCCAGCTGTGCTGGGTGTGGTGTCCTTTGCTGAGCCCCCAGAGCTGACTGTGCACACCTGTATTTCAGTCACCTGTCCACCTCGCTCACCAGTTGGCATTACTGACCACTGTTCTGCTCTGCTCAGGCATATTCTGGACACCGGGGCACAGTGGTGAACAGGACGCCAGTAACAGTGCAGACATAAACCCACAGGAGACTCTCAGACGCTGACAAATGCTACAACACTGTAGGAGACAGTGACCAAGAGGTCAGGGAAGGCCCCTCTGGGGAACAGTGAAGCTGACCCCAGTGACGAGAGGGGAGAGCCGTAATGAACACAGGGCAAGACTGCTCCTCCTGCCACTGCCAGGGAGGTGCACTCCCAGTGCTACCTCTGTAACCTGCCCCTCCCACCTCTGCCTCCACAGGCTCATCTCTGCCCCATTAGCCTCTCCAACCTCTTCCTCTCACCAGCACTTCCCTATTCCCAAGCACCTTCCATCTGAAAGGACTTTCCATCCCAGCACACCCACCCACTCCCCTCTCTCCCTTGAAGGGACCTATTATGCTCCTCGGCACCCTGACCACTGCTGTCTGGGTGAGGAGTCACTGGCTCCAGCCTCTGCACCTGCCAGAGTCGCCCTTCCTAGGGCTACTGGCAACCTGCTGGCTCTTCTCCCTCCTTATTGAAACACCTTTCCTTCCACCTCCACAAGTCTGCGTCTCAGGCCCTCGTCTGCCCCTGTCCCTCTTTCCCTCTAATCAACAGTCACCAGTCCATCTCATGGGTGCGTCTCCACCACATAGCTCTACCCCTCGCTCAGATCCCCGAGTCCACCTGGCCCTGAGACCTCTGCCAGCTGCCCCAGGCTATGTAGGATCTCCATTCACCTCCCCTGGCTTGGCCAGGGCCCCCGCTGTCAAGCAGAAACCCTAGGTGTCATCCTTGACCCCTCCCTCCCCTTCCACATCTAATTTATCATCAAATTCTGCAGGTTCTACCTCCAAAATTTCTCCCCAAGCATTTTACTTCCAAACCTCACCACCACTCTTCCTGAAAACTTTGACCATAACTGAGTGGTCTCCCCACCTCCGGTCTCCCACCGAAATATTCTGCTCAAGTGCAAACTGACTGTGCCACACTTACCCCAAGCTATGGCGACCTCTCTACGCTCCTCGGGGCTCCTCAGCCAATGCCAGGTTTCTCCACAGGACACATAACAGGCTTTTCTCTACCCAGTTCTATCTCCAGCAGTTCTGAGCCTGATATCTGCCACTTCTGGACCACTGTCAATTCTCTCCTCTCTACAAAGAATGTTTGTCCCTCCCTTTTCATCTTAATGCTTATTCAACCTTCAGGTTTCAACTGAGATCTCTCATTTCCTCCAGGAAAGCTCTGCTGATGTTCCCCACCTGCTCCCAGACACCAGCACTTCCCTACTCTACCTTTCCCACTCTGTATTTACGTGACAGGCTGTTCCCCTCCTCCAGCATACTGTGGGTGGTGAGAGGCAGGGGCCATGTCTGTCTCCATCGCCACTTTAGTCCTAACCCCTAGCAGAGCAGAGCATGCTCCCCATGAATCTGAGTTGAATGAAAGAAGAGGGAGGGAAGAAGGGAGGATGGATAATGGAGGGCTGAGTGCAGAGACTGCTGGATGCCCAAATGAGAAGGGCTTGCTGGACAGAAGGGTAAAGGATGGAGCATGAGTCCACGGGACCCTGCTGCCCTCTGACCACCCTGGCCACACCGGCTGCTGGGTGGTTCTACCTTTGCTCTCCCTGTCACCACTGTCCAGGGTGCTCTCCCTGCCTTTCCTCTCGTCTTTGCTCCAATCTTGCCTCCCATGAAGGACCAACATGACCTTTCCTCTTTCATTCCAGCACCCCCAACAGTCCATGTTTCCATTGGCTGCTTTGCATTTCCTCTTAGCACTTAGCACCATGTGACACCTTATGTCCTTCACTTATTTGTCTTGTTTGCTGTCTGTCTCTCCCACTAGCACATAAGCTTAATAAGGACAGGGGTCCTTGTCTGTTCTGTTCATCACTGTGTATTCCCAGCACCTAGAGTGTTGTTGGGCTCATAAATATTGGTTAAACTAACAAAGGCAGTTGGACTGATGAGTGGACAAGAAATGCATGGTGACTATGTGACAGACAAACAGAGGAGAGGAGACAAGGATAGACATGTGAGTGAAGATGGTGAGCACGATGCAGAGGTGGACAAGTGGAAACACGAATGCATGATGGATGTAAACTGGGTGCGTGTGTGCAAAGACGAACAAACGCCACAGCAGGGCTCTAGGACTGACTGTGTGAGTTCAAACCCTAGCTCCACCCCTAAGACTGGCCGTGTGTTTGTGGACAAGTCACAGCACTCCCCTGTGGCTTTGTGTCCTCGTCTGTGAAGTGAGGTAACAACAGGCCTGTGAAGTGAGCTTTGTGGATTGCTGTGATGATGAGGACATTAACACATGAAAAGGGCACAGAATTGGTGCCTGCCAGGTCACTCTAGGACACGCAGCCATCATGCGCATGTGGCTCATGGGCCATGGATGGATGGGATGGGCACACAGCAGGGGCAGGTGAAGGAGACTCACAGGTTGGTGGGGCTTAAACAGAACATGGAGCTGTATGGGACGATGGGTCGGGGGCCACTCCTCATCACATCATCAGCTTCCACCTCCTTCTTCCCCTCTGCTTGGCTTTCCAGGTCCACGTTACCACCTACAAGGACACAGGGCCACCGAGTTAGGGGTGTGGCACACACAAAGCTCACATCACACAGGTCTCACCTGGGCAACAGACACTCTCCCAGTTCCAATCCCACAGGCGAGTGGGGCAGGTCTTCATGGACCCACTCAGAGAAGGGTGTGTGGCTAAAAACCCAGCTTCACATGAGACTCCTTGAACTCGTGGTCAGATCACAACTGAGGCGAGCAGTGGCCAGGACCAAGCCAGCACTGGAGAGCTGGGGCCGTCTGCACAGAGACCCTAAGAGAGCCTTCCACACCCCTCACTTCACCAAGCACTGCACCCTTGGCTCCAGACGCCTCTGCCTCCACTGGTGCCGTTAGTCTAGGTGTTCTAAGAATGCTAACGTCCCCTCAGCCCCGAAGACCAAGGCCAGCAGGCCCCCTTCCCCCCATTCAGCGTACACTCCTAGAGAAAATCACCACGTGCAGGGAGGAGCAGGGGCAGCCCTGGACTACAGACACTCTCTGGAAACTGGTGATCCAGTCTAACCTGGCCTGGATGCTCTCCAGGACGTAGCGAAGGCCCTGTCTGCCAGGCACTGCAGAGCAGGGCACGGCCAGCTCGCAGGCAGGCAGGCGCTGCTCAGTCCACACTCTGGCTCTCCTCCCCACTCCCCCGCTTCCCTGAGGCTCATCCTCTGCTCTCTCAGCACCCCTGTCTCAGGCTTAGCTCCTGCAAATCAGACTCCCCAAGATTAAAATGCCCATGACCTTTGTTCCTTTTAAGTAGATTGTGTCATCTGTGCATACTATTTTTCTCACGATAGTTTTTCGTTTTTAACGATCCGAATGTATATTTCAGTTCTGTGGGTGACAGAGTTCCTGAGAACTCAAAGACGCCCAGGGAGATAGTGCAGTGAAGTGGAGCCAATGCCCACTGTTGTACCGCATTTTTACTTCTTAAAAAAATATATATATATAAGCAAAGAGGATGTTCAAGGGCAGCTGAAGTGAGGCTAGCTATCCCCAGAACTTGCATGAAGAGCAAGGCTCCAGGCCTCTCCCCCTGACCACTGGCCACTCTGAAGTCCTGCAGAGAACGGCTGGGCCAGAGAAAAAAGCCTCAAGCTGAATCCGAGAACAGCGCAAGCCACAGCGGTAGTGGTTTACGGCTCCTAGGCTGTGAGCCTACCTGCACCCGGTACCGTCGAGTCTCCCCACAGAAGGCGCACATATATGATCTGCTTAGAAGGCAACTGGGCAAGACTTACTTAAAGCCTTAACAACCTCTATCTGTTGATTTAATTTGTGGGGCATTATCTCCTAAGGAAATCAAGCATGCACACAAAAATCTACATGCACAGAAGTGTTTGTTACAAGTTCTTTTACAATAACTAAAGATTATAAAATGTACAACCATAGGAGATAGACTAAGTATGCAATACTTACATGAAGCATTATACTATGGATATTAAAAATGCCTACAAATAGTTTAAATGACAAAAGAAGTTTATGATATGGTAAGTTAACAAAAAAAGGCAGGCTACATACTCGTATATCCCAGATGAGCTGAACTACAAAAATAACACGCATCGGACAAGAAGTGACACCTGGACAAGGATAACCGGGGAGATCTCTGATGGCGATGTCATTCTCTTCACTCTACTTTTCACATTTAAAATGACTTTCCATGATGAGCACGCATCACGTTTAAATTAAGAAACATTTATTATTTTCAAACCACAGCTTTTCAGACTCTTCCACAATAACAGTAAAGCAAACCCAAGAATAAGTAAACTGGGAGAAAAGAACCAATATGGACTCAATGAAGAATTTTGCTGCTCAAAAAAAAGTGGAACAAAGATGCCAGAGCCTGGATGGAAATACTTCTCCTGAAACAGATTTACTACAACAACAAAAATCATCAATTAAATCAAAGCAGACCAAAAAAAAAGTGGGGAGAAGACCAAAATGAAAACTGAGGAGACTAAGTAAACTCATTGTTGGAAGCAGTTCATTTAAAAAAAAAAAAGACTTGACAGTAACAAAAATTAAACCATTGAAACAGAAGATAATCAAGCAAGATGGCCAGACACAGAGGGTGAGTATGGAGCAGAAGAGAACATTCCCCAGAAACAGTGTTGGGCGTGGTCCAGATGCTTGATCCTCTGAGCACTCACTGGCATGTATTATTACCTGCATTTTTCAGATTAAGAAACTGAGGCTGAGCTGAGGAATCCCCTGTGGGCACACGATCTACAAATGCCGGGACAGAACCCCGTGCCGTGGGCTCACCACAAGGTAGGGAAGACGAACACGGCTTCTTGGGAAACTGCTCCCTCACAAGGGCTACAGTGAGCCCAGACTGCTAGAGCCCTGGCCTTCTGGGAAAGCAAATATCACTCCTCTCCGACAAAACATCCCTCATCTGGCCCACAGAGACCCCAGAGATTAAGGCAACCCTTCTCAACTTGAGGAGAATGTAAGCCCTAATGTCCAAAGACATGCATAGTATAGAAAGACTTTCTCTCCTATACACTTAGAACGGCACTAGCTACGTACCATCCTTAGGAGAATTAAAAAAGGAGTTGACTAATTCATTTTCTGCAGGGCTTATCTCACAAAACCCCAGTTGAGAAAGGGTAGATTAGGGTCAATAATATAGGAACTCAAAATAATAAATATCACCAAACAAACAAGGACTCAAGATCACCATGAGAGAAAGACAGCAGAAACAGTAATAGCTTTACACTCTCCAGGGACTTCAGATACGAGAATTTTCAGATGAGGAATATAAAAACTGAATACAAATATGTAAAGAAATTAAAAAACAAACCTTGAAAAAATTAACAAGCCATAAAAGTCTATAAAATTGACCCAGCATTTCAACAGCCTGTGACAGAGACACTTAAAATGGACTCATTCTCTCACTGAAAACAACTATAAAGCTGAACAAAATAAAAAACATAACTGTTTAAAGGCACTGGGAACCAATCAAGATGGACAGATCCTGAGAAGCTACAATCCCTGGGAGGAGGGAAGCACAGGGGGTGACAACCCTGGCACCCCAACTTTTCCCGAGGCCATTTTCCTATTTGCACTGCAAGGAAACAGAACCCAAGCAGAAAGCAACCCTCTTACCAGGAAGAGGAGAAAAAGCTTGGAGTTAGAAGATGACATGGTATCTGGGAATGAGGGGCAAAATCTCAGAGAGGGGAGAAGAACAGAGAAGTGAGCCCCTTAGTCAGTTACGATGAATTCCCCTCCAGTCATTGCTGCACACGCGCAAGATGAGGCTGGCCTCACCTCAAAGGAGAAAGCAGGGTTGAAGGCTTGATACTGGGTGGAAAAGCCAATACAGATTTAACTTTGCTCTTCCTTTTTATCAGGATTGTTCTTGTTTTTATTAGTGTTCTGGTTACAGAGTTGCATCGATCTTAAATCATTTGCTCTTAACCCTATTTTTTCTACAAGGCCTCTTATTTTCGGTCCACGGCATTTTCAGGAATACATATATCATGTTACAGCAGGAATGTCTGTACTTCAGGAAGATGGAAAATGACATTAAAGGAAGGTCTGAGATGCAACAAAAGGTAAGCCAAAAAATTAGTAAGCCAAGAAACTGGTAAATCTAAATAAATATAGTACCTATAAAGTCCAAATGAGAATAATATCTATTTTGTGAGCTTAGAAACAGGACTGAAATGTGGGACGACAATAACAAGGAACCTGGGAGAGACGTGGTTGGAGCTGCAGTTCAAAGGACTTAATATAACAAATAACTGTAGATTTTGTTCTGCACACACGTTAGAATTACAAGGATAACCACTAAAAAACAGAAATAGAATTCATAGTTTTTAAACCAGTAGAGGGGAAAATGTGATATGTAAGCAAATAAACAACCAATTAGGCAACGTTAAAAAAGAAGGAAAGGAGAAAAAAAGCATAGGAAAAAATGAAGCAAATGTCACAAGCCAAAATGGATGAAGCAAGTCCAAGTAAACTGATAATCACAATAAATATAAGCAGACTGAACCTGGCTATTAATTGATATAGATTATCCAGCTGGATTTTTTAAAAATACAGTTATATGTAGTTTCCAAAAGATAAGCTTAAAATATAAGACCATATAAAGGTTGAAAGTCATAAGATGGAAAAAGATTCACCTGGCAAATGATTCTTTAAAAAGAAAAAAGCTCAGTGAATATGTATATTCACATGAGAAAAATACACTTTAAGAAAAAAATAATTATTAAAGAGGATCACCACAAGATGACAAAAGGTTAAGCTCCAATAAGACATAACAATATTAAACATACATAAAGTAGCTTAAACTACAGAAATCAAACACATATATTTTAATAGAAAGGTTTTTTTTCTGAAGAAGAAATAAAAGAAAAAGCCCCACAGAAGAGATTCAGAAAAACATGGTTAGTAGCTCAGGAAATGTGCACTAGTACTTGGTCATCTGTTAGACTGTTTTCTGTATGGAGCTGCATGCTTCAAACTCTTCAAAATAACTGCATTAAATAAATAAATATATCTACAAAGCAGGAGCTGACAGGTCTATGGAGAGAAAGAGGTTTCAATGCACCTCTCTCAATTAGCGATGCACCAATCAGGCAAAATATTAGTGAATATATAGCATATTTAGCAATGCAACTAACAAATTTGATTTAGCAGACAAATATAAAAATCTCAGTGTTCCCCAAATTAGAGAAAACATATTGCTTTTAAGCACACATGGTACTTTTACAAAAGTTGACCACATGCTAAGCCACAAAGCAATCCTAAGTACATCTCAAAGGAAACCATCATACAGGTCATATTCTCTAATCACAGTGCAATTAAGTTAGAAGTTAAGGCAGTAATAAGAAACAGAAGGATAATTAAGATTTAAATTTTACACCTGGAAATTGAAAAACAGACTTCAGAGTTCATGGGTCAAATATTATATATTCATAGGCAGTACAACTGTGTCTACATAGAAAACAAAATAATCTACAAAACATTATTTAGAGTAACAAAAGA